CTTGCTCATCCATCGCTCATTGCTCCTTCTGCTACTTCCTACCCTTCTTAAGGGCAACAAAATTAGCACGGCGGCCGCCCGGCATATATGCCGCAACTTATTTGGAGGGCCAATAACATTGGTAAAACATCGCCCTCCGAGCCGTGGTTTCAGGCCGTGTTAGCGAATACCTACATTTTTTATTTTATAGCATTAATGAGCAATAACCTACATTACTGTTTTACCTGAAGGAGTAAATCACGCCATAATTCATAGCACGATTTTTTAGCAAATTTGAAATCGAGAATTTTGAATAAATGAGATTAAAGCATAATTTGAGAAAATTTGTGAGGGGCTGTAAATTATCGTGGGAAGGCTGGTAAAAATCTGCTTTTTAGCGCAGCCCTCTGGGCGCAGTGCAGAAATATCAAATTTCGAATTTTAAATTTATCATACGGCGGGCTGCTTTCTTGCTCCTGCGCTTCAACCTCGCTGCACTCCTTCTCCTGCTGCTCCTCCTCCTCCTCCTGCTTCACTGCCTTCTACCCTCCTGCTTCACGCTCGCTCCTCCTCCTGCCTTCACTCCTTCTGCCTCCTGGCTTCACCTCCAGGACTGCACTGCTGGCTGCCTCTCCTTCTCTTCTGGCTGCTCCTCCTCCTTCTCCTGCTTCACCTCCTCGCTTCTGCCTGCTTCACCTCGCTTCTGTCCTGCTTCAGCTCCTCCTTTTCTCGTGCTTCACACTCCTCCTTCTCGCTGCTTCACCTCGCCTCCTCTCCTGCTTCACCTCTCCTCTCGGACTGGCTTTCAGCTCCTCGCTTCGTCCTGCTCACCTCCTCCTTCTCCCTGCTTTCATTCACCTGCCTCCCGACTTCTCCTCCTGCTCACTGCCTTCTCCTCCTGCTTCACCATCCTCCTTCTTGCCTGCTTCACGCTCTGCCTCCTTCCCTGCTTCCCGCTCCTGCCTTCTGCTGCTTCACCTCCTCTTCTCCTGGGCTGCTTCCTCCTCCTCCTGCGCTGCTTCACGACTCCTTTCCCTCGCTGCCTTCACCTCCTTCTCCTCCTGCTTCACCTCCTCCTTCTCCTGCTGCTGCCTCCCCTCCGCCCCATTGCCTATATAGTGCTTAGCATATACTGTCAGTGTCGTCATAAATTTCTCAGATAACATGCTGACGTTCGGCCAACGTTGGCCCAATGGGTGTCTTCCGCTCAATGGCCAAGGCGTTGGGCCCCACGGGATTTTTGCTCAGCGCATCGCAACGTTGGGCCGAACGTTGGCCCAACGTGCATGGCAGCCACCATTTGCAAGTAGCATCAATGGCCAACCATGACGCATAGTTGGCGCCAACGGCATGCAGGCCAGACGCGTGGACCGTGCCAACCAAATGCCAACGTTGGCCCTAACGTAAGCATGGTTATCTGGGTTAATTGCATGGTTGGCATTCTACCAGCAGCATCTTCCATTGCCATCGGAGCTGCTGCCGTTAATTGCTAGACTTTTGCTGCGGTATTTTCTGCTATTTTTAGCAGATTTTATCAAATTGTGCCACGATGAAGACGATGCTAAAATCATGTGCAAGTATTCGAGATTCAGCAGAACATGGAGAGGTCAGCCCGAACCAGGTGAAGCTATGAGCGCTTAGTAGCTTAATAGGCTTACAGGTCCCAGGTGTTGTGTGGGAAAAGGGGCGAAATCCGGTTAGTATAGTAGTGCTCCATAGGTCTTGTCCTGCGCAGGGTACTGCGCACGTTACCCTGGGTATGGTCCGTAATACCGTACCCTGGTAATTATCTGATATGGTTAGGGTTAGGGTTATGGGTTAGGGTTAGGGAGTAGGCGTAGGAAGACCTCCCCGTAGACTTTGTTTAGTGGAGTAGGCGAGGTAGCGGTCTGGCATATTAGATAGTACGCGAGGGTACGTTCCGGCAGTACGCCTGGGACATAGACCCTCTCAGTGTAAGTTTGCGTGTTGCATTTGGCTACAGATGCAATGTCTGGTCGATACCGGCATGCCGAAAGCGCAGCCGGGGAAAGCTTTGCAATGCCACACAGCCGGTTAGATGGACCGGCTTAACGACGTAAGCGACGCGGCCACGGTAGAGGGCCCGGGCAGCGTCGTAGGTTTCACAAGCAAAATACGCAGGAAAATCAAGCATGGATGCCACTTCCGTCTAGACTATGTATGCTAATCAAAACCATATATTACATTTATAAATGATTATTTAGTGGAGGCAAACTGATGTAGAAAAAATGGGCATGGGGTGGATTTTTAGTGGTAAGGCAGACGTAATTGGAGTAGGGCGAAATAGGTGTAGAGCGCAACTGGAGTTTTTGGCTATAGACGAAATGGGAATTTTGCTGTAGGGCGAAATGGGAAGTGGGCCAGCGCGAATAATACCGTTATGGCTACCTAGGCTGCCAAATAACTCTCTCCAATGAAGGCGGAGCTCTCCAGGAAGGGGGTTGAAAATTTGTGGCTGATAAAGCTGAGGACAGCATTCCTCTTCGTGTGTGTGTGTGACAGTGTGTTCCCGCGCGTGCGCGATATATGTTCTCAATGCTTTTACAGTCAGCAACCGCACGCGTTGTCGATAGCGTGAAGGCGGGTTTTCTTCTGAGGGAAAATTAGAGCAAAGGAGGTAATGGCCAGTTTGGGAAAAAAAACCGCATGATGGATTCAAATACAGGATGTATTCGATATACATATAGGTATATAGAATACGATGGTATATACTTATCAGTAAATACAGGAATATTTTCGAGCAACGCGGTGGCGGCTCAAGCTTGTGGCCTCCTCTATGTAAAGAAACGCCTGGTGAACTGTTTGCATTGATTTGACAGCCGGACAAAAGAGCGGATGGCAAGAGCTGGCGCTGGAGCGCGGAGAATACGAGGGCTACGTGCGTGTGTGGCAGAGCCAGCGAGGCAGCGTGGCAAATAATGTTTAAGTGAGTGTTCATGTTGTGCTGAATTGCTGGCGTTTTCTTTTGCCATCGCTTAATTTTGCGCAGCACAGAGAACCATCATAGTAGAACCACCATAACATACTCTCCTAACCATCATATCACCATTATATGCATAAAATAACCTGTTATACGCAACATATTCATAAGCCTGCTAAGTAACATATGGCATACACCTGCTAAGTTGCTAACGCAACATATGCATAACCTGTTAACCAGATATCATAACCTGTTACCAACAATCATAACGGCTGTTACACCAACATCTCATAACCTGTTAACGTCAACATAAATAAGCCTGTTAACCAACATATCATAACTGTTTAACCAACATAAAAATAACCTGTTAACGCAACATAAAATAACGCTGTTAACGCACATATCATAACTGTTAAGCCAACATATCATAACGCTGGCTAACCAACTAAAATAAACCTGCTAAGTAATCAATAGCATGAGGCATATACTCATCGAAATCACCCCCCCGCATAATCCTAAATCTACCATTAACACGCATATAGCACTATAGACATATACAACAAAGAAGCGTATGAAAAGAAGGAGAACGCGTACAACGGTGCAATATGCTGTAAAACCGATGTTGCAGTATTAGTCGAATTAATAAACTTTCCCCGTTTTATTTGCCCCGATTCTTTGCAGTAAATTGATCAAGCTGTCCTACTTGTATATATAAAAACAAACCGCATGTCCTACGATGTCTCTACGCTGAGATAATGAAACGGTGAAATGGTCTGATGGTCTATGTATGTAATAAGATATGTGACGACACTGACGACTGTGTCATGTCCCGCGACTTTTGTCCCGACCTTTGTAGGTTTCGCGTGTAGTTCTGACGCTTTGTCCGACCTTGTAGGTTCGTGATTTTCTGAGCTTGTCCGCGACCTTTGTAGTGTTTCGGTGATTTTCCTGACGCTTGTCCGCGCCTTTGTAGTTCGTGAGTTCTGACCCCCTTTGTCCAAGCCTTTTATTTCTATTCTGACCTTTGTCCCGACCTTTGTAGTTTCTTTGAGTTCTGACCTTTTGTCGCCAGACTTTTGTAGGTTCGCTGAGTCTGACCTTTTTGTCCGACTCTTTGTAGGTTTTGTTGAGTTCTGACCTTTGTCGACCTTTAATTAGGTTTTTTGTTGAGTTCTTGACGGCTTTGTCCCAGAGCTTTGTCGGTTTCGTGATGTTCGACCTTTGTCTGCCGACCTTTGTAGGTTGTCGTGAGTTCTGACTTTTGTGCGAGCTTTTGTAGGTTTCTATGAGTTCTTTGACTTTGTCTCCCTGACTTTTGTAGTTTCATGGAGTTCTGGACCTTTGTGCCGGCGACCTTTTTGTATTGGTTTCATGTGAGTTCTTGACTG